GTGAATGCTATGCAGCCCATCCAGACAGCGCAGTTAGGTTTGTGACCTCATAGACACATAAAAGTAACTCTGTAAAAGGATATTTTATTCTGTGTAGCTATTCATGCTATTCATTCATCTTCAATTATCACTTGCCAAACAGCAATCCCATGTTGAGGACCCCACTTTTCTCTGATGTAGTTCAGCAATACAGCTTGGTTACTGTCCCGCCCCCATTCTGCACTGCTTTTATCCTTAGGCTGCTGTAAACTTTAAGGCCATCATCTAAAGGAGGTAAGCAGTCAGGAGGTGTGTGAAGTTATTGAGTCAGCTTGGACCAGCATTTCCAAGGAACATTTCTATAACCATGTTTTATTCATAGAGCAAATAATATGGGCTGTTTAGGGCTAGTTCACACCAAGCGTGTTCCAGGAGCAGAGCAGTTACAGAACGAATCTGGAATACATTGGACGGAAACTGCGTCCAATGTATTTCAATGGTATTTTGGACTCTACCGCAGCATTCAGTTCCAGTTACAAAAACGGCCCGGAATGGGCAAAAAACGCGGCAGAACACACTGCATTGCGTGTGCAGACACTCATGCAGATCTGGTCTGCATTTGGTGTGAACAAGCCCTTAGGGATTCATATACCACTCTCTGAATAGGCTGTAGGAACGCATAAAAAACATCTTTGGCTTGATTTTCAATGGTACATCCTACAAAATGATTCTTGTCACCTACTGGCTTGTTTCTTGAACTATAGACAGAAAAGGAAGTGAGGATAAACTTTATATCAAGATTTCCTGGGAGAGCCATAAAACCAGTACTTCCTGAAGACTCCAAACAATTTCTAACTCGACTCCAAGCTCTGGGTGAAGAAGCAGCTGCACCCCTCCCTCAGGTACAGATATTCTACTAGTGTTAGTTAGAATGTTGCCATAGTAGTACATGAAAGGGAACACCGAAGGAAGGACTGTGTCAACACCAATTTAGAGATGATTTGAGGATCTACAGCCGAGTGATAAACAATTGAGCTTTATTTTTGTTAATAGTTGGGGTACTTGAATGCATTTTTAAGATTTAACTCCTGAGTTTAGTGATAAAATCTCTCTCAGCTCCTTGCAGAAAGCAGCGACTTGGGAACAGATGATGGCCCATCACTCGCCATCCCAGTTCCTTTGCCAGGTTTTTTTTTATCCCACCAGCTATGTTTGCTAGCTGAGAACAGAGGATAGCCCTCTCACTTAGCCTTGAGGTAATTATGGGGCATTCCTCTGTTCTTATCAGAGCAGAAACGTTTTAATTATTTACTACTAAAAATGAAAAGCATTATGGCCCCTCCCTTTATGTGCACCAACTCTGTGATTACATTAAAGATTAGAAGGCTGGCAGGCTGCCAAGACGGGGCTGAGAGAATAAAGCAGATTGAACGGAGCTGTTAAAACTGCAAGTGTTTTTATTAAACTTGCAGCTATAGAACTCAGTGAGGGACAGTATCTGTATAAAGAGGCTCCCCTGACCCAATGACCCCGACTTTGCCAAGGCTGTCCCACAACTCCTTCCTCCACCGTCTCCTTCCCATTTTATAACTGTAACATGTTTGAGATTTATATAACAAGTGGTTGTGTGGGTTTTTTTTTTAGGAAAGTGGAATAAATCTGCACAGCACTTTATTTGTCTGGCTGTGCTCAGTTTCTCAATGGCTGCAGAAGGTGGAGGAGATGTTAGATACAGACTTATCCAGGGAGGAAGCTTCTTTGGAGTTGGCACATTATGAGGTAAGCAAGTTTCACATGTAACAACTGTCTGTACTGCTCCATAAAATTCAATCCGATTCTGAATTGATCAAGTTCTTATTTTTCAGTAAGTCAGAGAAACCGTGACGGTTATGGTGGGAAAGGGAATAAAGGAACAAAAAGGCCCTCCATTCAAAGCACAGTAATCCAGTTGGATGGCTTTCTGACTCCTTTTATCCTCTCTCACCATAACCTGTATAGTTATATTGCCTTATTGGGTCCCAAGTCTTACTCCATAGAAGCTGTGGTTTTCTTATACTGCAATGATGATGGTCCAAAAGCCTGAAACAGCTGTATGCAGTTTGGACTAAATGGCTCTAAAATATTAGGCTATATTGGCACTATATGCCAGCAGATCTGGATGGTAGGGCATAAAGGAATGATTTGTTTTAATCAGGCGTTACTCTGCTACTCATTTTTCATAGCAGACACATCTAACAGACAATTTGTATTGTTTACATTATGTTTGTATAGAAAATGTATAAAAAAATTCATAGACACGAGAGCTTAGTTTATTGGTGGTCAACCTACTAGATGAAGTAGGCCTTAAGTGTGGCCCCTGAGGTTCTCAAAGAGCCTTACAATATTTACTGCATGTAATAGTGCAGAAGCCTGTCTGAGATGATCATACTACAATAGATACAGACTCAGATGAGTATTCTACAGGAGATGGTTAAAGACTGTGAGCCTACTATAGGAGATGTCCAGATATTTAGAGCCTAGTACAGGTGATGGCCAAAGATTGAGAGCCTAGTACTGGAGATGGGCAGATATTGTGAGTCTACTACAGGAGATGGGCAGGAATTGAGAGCCTACTACAGGAGAGGGCCGGGGATTGAGAACCTACTACAGAGATCGCCAGAAATTGAGAGCCTACTTCAGGAGATGGCCTACTATTAGAGATGGGCAGATACTGGCAGCCTACTATTAGAGATGGGCAGAGACTAGTAGCCTACTACTGAAGATGGACAGAGACTGGGAACCTACTACTGAAGATGGGCAGAGAGTGGGAGCTTACTACAGGAGATGGCCAGACTGTGAGAGCCTACTAGTTAAGATGGCCAGGGACGGGGAGCACCATACAGGAGATAGGAAACGCACACTAAATAATAACTTTCTTAAACCTCAGCTACCAAATTCAGTCTTGTTCTGAACAAAAATGACAGTTGGAGAAATAAAGTTTGAATGTGGTGTTAGGCTTTGTCAACAAAGACAGCTCTTGTTTAGCACAATTTAATAAATTAGGCTTTATATCCTAAACCACAAGCAATGGTCATTGCCATATAAAACTATAGAAAGGTTTAGTTTTTTTCTTTAACTGGTTACTGTCTGTCAACTCAATTTTAAAAATCTCTTTTCTTTTCAGAAACTTTCGGAGGATTTAAATTCACTTTCCGAAGAAATGAGAAAGAAAATGGATTCTCTATTGAAGCAAACCAGCCATGCGGGCGAGCACGTTGGGATTTTATCTCAGTGTTATAATGACATAAGTAACTGGCTTGTTCAGACTCACGGTGCTGTATTATCCAGAACTAAAAACATGCGCGAGGAACTGAAGAAACATAACAACTACCAGGTAATGTAAAATCTTTGCGGACAACTTCAGTATTTCATAAAAGCCTTGTGCTCGCAATGATTAAACATATGCAGCAGCAACAAGGAAAGGGGCAGTGTTAACCCTTTCGCTGCCAAGGACGTACGACGTACGGAGCTACAAAAGTGCTTCCAGCTGGCCAGCTCAGTACGTCGTACGGACCTGGCATTTACAGTTCCACTATAAGCTGATGGTCGCTTTAGCGACCATCAGCTTATAGTAGAACTGTTCAGCAGACTGTCCCCTTTAAATTAATAGCTGTCATCAGCGGCTCACAAGCCGCTGATGACCGCTAATTTTAAAAATACCGGGCGCCCCCCCCCAACCAGGCTTGGCCAGCTGATTTGAAAAATGTTCCGGAGGGCTTGGCAGCGAAAGGGTTAAAGCACCATATTGACAAGACATATTTACTTTATCATTTATTTTTTCCTTGTTTTCCATCTCTGTGCTCTTACGGGGGAATCCTAAGGCATGACTACAAATTGGAAAGCATTGGGTTCTTTTAAGAGTCACAAAACTCTTTGTAGCTCTATGCTTGAGAGTGGTGGGCAATACAGGTCTGGTTTTCCTGCCACAATCAAGTTACATGGTAAATCATAAAAGCTGCGGCTCCTCTATGAAAGATTTTCATTTGTGTGTGGCTAGGGTAGAAGAACCTTGAAATACAGCCTTAAACATATGCAGGGACCAGGCGGCCGCTATGGGGCCCGAGGCACGGCGGGGCCCGGCCAGGACATCTCCCTGATGCCGTGCGGGCCGCCAGGGTCGCTATGGCATCTTGCTCGGCTGGCTGTCACTGGCGGCTGTGAGGAGGAACGCTCCGTTCCTTCTCACAGCCGCTGCTGAG